GTGACGCAAATGGGTCAGTGATGAGTAATTGTTTTACACTCCCAGCAGTGTGCTGTGCTGACATCTAAACAGGAAGCTCTGGATGTCCATCCACAGTTTGTCATCCCAATCTCTGATACTACTGATGACTCATGACGTACGATTCACAGATGATGTTAAACAGCTGATGTTCCACCTCAGAGCAGCTCCATGCCCATCTATGTCTGGATGGCTTCCGCTCATTAGCGGAGACCCGCTCTCTTTAATTAGCGCTCTGTAATTGGTTACTGCTGTGCAGTCTTTTCTAGAACATGTGCTCCCAGCATCCTGCTTTCTGCAAGTCATAAGGAAAAGCCCCAGACCGTGATCACGGTAATCTGTTTTGCCACTTTAAATGCCGTCAGCCGTTTATCAGGCCCCGATTATCTTGAAACCTCCAGAGTTCATTCAGTGAAGAATTTGTCAGGCGGATTCAAACAGAAACTTATGAGTATGTGAATCTTTTTGACCACTCTGATCATTTCGTGAAGGAGTCATCATACTGACTCGACCCGAAAACCCAACCCGCGGTTGTTGTTTTTTTAGCAAATTCTTTTCCCATCTTATCAATTCAGTGAGTTAATTGAGTAATGAGTTAATCATACTGATTCAAACAATAAGTTGATGATTTATTTCTTCTATAACAGATTCAGGTGGTTCATTCAGTAAAGGATTCTGATTCAACCAGAAACTGATAAATTCGTGAGTGTTTTTGAATGATTCAGTACCGCTCTCATCATTTAGTGAAGGAGTCATCTTACTGACTCAAACTGAAAACTTGTGAGTTCTGGAGACTTTTTAGTAGATTCATTTCCATTCTGACAGCTGTGGCCAGTTAATTCAGTAAAGGGTTAATTATACTAATTAAAATGTTAACTCAGAAGTCTGTGAGTCTTTTTGGACGATTCATTACTTCTCTAACGGATTCAAAGTGTTCATGTAGTGAGGGATTTGTCAGACTGATTCAAACCGATAACTTTGTGAGTTTTTGAGGCTTTTTGAACGATTCCTTATTTCTCTTAACGGATTCAGGGAATTAATTTAGTGGTGGATTTGTCAGGCTGATTCAAACCGTCAACTTATGAGTTTGTGAGTATTTTTGGATGCTTCATTAGAAGAACTGGCACATGCATTGTATCACACTATTCTATTTGTTTGGCTATTTTGCATGCAGCCAACAAAGACATCATAATAAAAAGATGCGTTATGTTGGCATCATTTACGTTTTGTCTCATCACATTCAGTGAAGTCTGCATGTTTGATAAAATATATATTTTTTTGCTGTGGCACTGTAGATTTAATCCTATCTGTGTGGAAAATAAACTGCACATCGTCTGCATGAACGTAAAGGGTTAATTATACTAATTAAAATGTTAACTCAGAAGTCTGTGAGGCTTTTTGAACGATTCCTTATTTCTCTTAACGGATTCAGGGAATTAATTTAGTGGTGGATTTGTCAGGCTGATTCAAACCGTCAACTTATGAGTTTGTGAGTATTTTTGGATGCTTCATTAGAAGAACTGGCACATGCATTGTATCACACTATTCTATTTGTTTGGCTATTTTGCATGCAGCCAACAAAGACATCATAATAAAAAGATGCGTTATGTTGGCATCATTTACATTTGTCTCATCACATTCAGTGAAGTCTGCATGTTTGATAAAATATATATTTTTTTGCTGTGGCACTGTAGATTTAATCCTATCTGTGTGGAAAATAAACGGCACATCGTCTGCATGAAAAGATTGTGTTGCCACTTTTCATGTACAAAGTCACAGGCTGTGTTTACAGCTAAATTTAGTCTTTTACACTCTCTGACTTGTTGAAATAAGATGCCATCTTTTGGATCTGTCCCGCTCTGGGCAGGCTACTGTACTACAGCGCTGGGGTTCAAGGGTCACAAGTAGGGGTGCTCCGATTGATCGGCGGTCTCTAAAAGGCCGATCTCAAAAAAACGATCTCAAGCTGATGACGCTGCCGTGAGAGGTTTGGCATGACATACAGCGGCACCGTCTCAGTTTCTGTCCGGCACGGGTGAAATAATTATAATGCTGAAGGGGAGGTACTCACCTTCATATTTCTTCATTAAATAACTTAAAAAGTAATTTGAAAACCTTGTGTGAGACGTAATTTCACAAACAGCGTGAGAAATACGCAAATTTTCTCTCTCAAAATACGCAAATGGCTTCAAATCACCACATCGCGTCTGTCTATAAGCGAGCTGCATGCTGCACAGTTGACACAGGAATTGTCACTTGCATAATCGAGGCAGTGTCACATCGTCACTAAAGTTTATACAAGTAAAGTAAAGTTTTTGCATTACTTTTTAATTCTTACCAGTGTTTAGCGCTCTCCTGTAGACCGTGCGCTCATGCACACTTTCATTGCACACACATGATGCCAGGTTCACATTACTCTGTTTGCAGTGCGTGGTATGTGGTGCGTATTTTTTCCGCGCTCATGTTAACGAATTAAAGCATTCACACTGCACATGGCAGTGCGTTCAGGAGCGGTGCGTCTGCAGCGGTGCAGAGATCGTTTCACCACCGAGTCTATTTTTGCTGTGATACACACGCGGAATTAAAGTGACAGCACATTGTTTGCAGTACATATGAAAACGAAAATGTAGCAATTGCACCATAAATGCATATTATTAAAGTCTACTGTGTTTCACAGTCAACACACATGGCTTTTTGGCTAGGTTTAAAGGGAAAGAGCACTTTTAGATAAACAAGGCAATAATAGATGGCACACATGGAGGTAGGAAAACAAAGTTCTTTATGAACCGCAGGATTGCTTGTAATAAAGATTTAAATGCAAAAGGAAAGGCAGTAGAGCTGACTATTTCTGTCAATGGTAAGTTTGTGATAATGTAAGAAAAGTAGTTTAAATGTTTTGCCACTTGCTTGAGCAACTTAGTCTATAAATCTAGAATTAAATGCAAAAGTAAAAAGCATTGAATGATGTGTTGCTTATATTTATTGTGTTTAAACATGTCTGTGAAAGACTGTGTTACTGTACTGTGTAAAAAAATAATTGCAATGCTGAAAAAGCATTTTCAGTGACAATGTTTGGATTTAAAATCAAAATAATGGAATGATTATAATGTTGGAATAAATGTTGTGTTTGTGGTAAACAGCCACGGATCAGTAGCGGACTCCTGTGTGAAAGCTGCTTCCCCCCTCACAAGAGATACCTAAGAGGGGAATTTCCCCCATTTTCAAAAATGAAATTCAGGCCCTGAATAAATGTCTAAAAATCCTGATTGAAGTATCACTATAAATAGTTATAAATTATAAAAAGAAGGCTTTAAAAATATCGGTGATCGGTATCGGCAGATACTGCTTTCTGCGATCGGTGATCGGCCTCAAAAATCATGATCGGAGCACCCCTAGTCACAAGCGTCCACTTTGATGTCAGCTCAGGTTATCCTGCGTCTTTAATGTGCCTGACCGTGTCCACATGTTCAGATAGATGAGAAAGCATGTGAATAGTGTTTGTACTAGTGCTTTAGTATAGATTGCTGGTTTAGAACATTGCTGGCTGACTAAGAGCCTAATTAGCCCTGCACTCAGAGGGGTGTATTGATTTTTGGTAGTTTCTTTTTTGTGCAATGACTGCTGACTATTGAACTCTGTGAAACGGACGCAAAACTTTTTGTACCTTTGACTGTTTCTCATGTTTTCAGTCTTTTCGATTGTGACTGCACGTGTCAGTGTGACGTACATACTAGACTCTTGAAAATAATCGGTGCGTGTTTGGAGGTGAAAGAGTCTGGCTTAAATGCTAAAGTGTTTTTGGAAGGCTCAGGAGAGCTAATGTATGGAAATATGGTGATAATGTAAAGAGAGAATGATGGAACAGAAATTTAAATGGAATTACAAGGCATTCTCAATTCAGTTTTGGTGCACAAGCCTTTTAGCTTTATAGGAAATTGAATAGAAATGGTAAAAGTGAGCTTTTTTTTCATTGAATTGAACAGCAAGTGTACTATAACTTTTCTAAATGCTCCTTCATGCATTTTTGCCTGGTGAGCAATAAAACAAAATTCCCATAGATTCTCATTAAAGGGAGGAACTTCAGCCATATTTAGAGGCCATTGAAAAGTTTGGGGTCTGTAAGGTTTTTAAAAGTCTCTTATGCTTAGCAAAGCGGCATTTATTTGATCAAAAATACAGTAAAAACAGTAATATTGTGAAACATTATTATCATTTAAAATAACTGTTTTCTGTGTTAATATATTTATAAATGCAATATATTTCTTTGATGGCAGTGTTAATTTTCAGCAGTGTGAATTTAATATCATTGAGATACTATTTTAGTTTTGTTAATATTTTGAATTATTTGTTATTAATCTAACTTATTAGATTAGTTATTTTATATTTTCTGTTATAGTAATTTTGTTGTGCATTTGTATTATTTTTGTTTTTAAGTATGTCTATAGTTTATTAATTTTTATTTCAATTAGAGTTATTTTAGTACATCAAGTTAAACTAAATGGAAAATTGGAAAGTTGCCTTGCAAACTAGTTGAAATAAAGTGTGATTTTTATATTTTACTAAATGTAAAATTAATTACATTTATTATTACATTTATTTATATTTCAAGTAACAGCAATAATTTTAGTTAACTATAATAACCCTTATTTTCAGTTTCATAGTCTTCAATGTCAAATGATCCCTCAGAAATCATTCTAATATCCCGATTTGCTGTTCAAAAACATTTACTGTTATTATCATGTTATTATATATATTATGCTGAAAACATTTAATATATTTGTGAAAAAGGCATGTTACCTTTTTATTCAGAATTCCTTAATTAACAGAGATATCAAAAGAACCGTAATAACGTCTTTCAAAAAAAAAATATATAAAATTGGCCCCAAACTTTTGAAAAGTAGACTTTTGCACACCACTTGATTTTTTTCTCAGTAAAAATGCAGCCCATCCTCTAATTTAGCTTTTTCTGTCTTCTCTTTCAGCTCTTCAGGGAAGTAAGAATAATGAAGATTCTAAATCATCCAAATATTGGTAAGTTGTCCTTCAGTAATCTGTTTTTAGAAGCGCTCTCTCTCTCTCTCTCTCTCTCTCTCTCTCTCTCTCTCTCTCTCTCTCTCTCTGTGGAGATGTTTGGGAATGTAGCACACAAAGCGGACCGTAGTGGAGGCCTCTCTAATCCCCTGTGCAGGAACTCCCTCTGCTTTTCCCAGAGCCGCCACACCGCTCCTATTCAGATGGCCGAGCGGCTTCTCCCGGCAGCACAAAAGCACTCCTGTATGCCTCTGTGTGTTCCATTGTTGAGCATCCATCATCTGACGGCCTGCACATGTCTCTCCTCATCCCCTCCCCCCAACCCCACACCCCCGTCTCATGATGTCATCTCTGTGTGGCCTCTGGCCCCTCACTCACCCCAATACCTTAATCGGCCCTCAGCGACCCCCATCTGCCATTCCCGAACAATCCTTATTTGTCCGGGAGAGCAGAATGAGTTTGTCTGTTTTGTTTTGCTGAGCAGGTGTTTGTGTTCATGAGAGACCCTTGTTTTCTATTATAAAGTATGTAGTTCTAGTTCTGGATGCTGATTGGTCAGTGATGACACTATGAAATTGCACAAGGGTTTTCAAACTTTTTGATGACAAAGACCCCTAAATAATATGATGATCCCCTTATGAGGGACTACCTTCTTAAAATATAAAAGCCGCTATATGCACTAATGTTCAAAATTTTAAGGTCAGTAAGATTTTTGGTTTTACTTTTATTTAAGCAAAGATGCATTAAGTTGATCAAAAATAGTTCCAACTTTTATTTTGTTTCAAATAAATGCAGTTTCCACAAAATATAAGCTGCATAACTGTTGATAAAAATGAGGATAATAATGAGGAATGTTTCTTGAGCAGCAAATCAGCATATTAGAATGATTTCTGAAGGATCATGTGACACTGAAGACTGAAGTAATAATGCTTTGCCGTCATAGGAATAAATCACATTTTAAAATGTGACTATGGACCACAAAACCAATTTTCCAATTAACCAAGGGTCAAAATTGAGATTTATACATAATCTGAAAGCTGAATAAATAAGCTTTCCATTGATGTATGTTGTTAGGATAGGACCATATTTGTCTGAGATACAACTATTTGAAGATCTATAATCTGAGGGTGCAAACAAATCAAAATATTGAGAAAATCGCCTTTGTCCAAATGAAGTTCTTAGCAATGCATATTACTAATCAAAAATTAAGTTTTGATATATTTACGGTAGGAAATTTACAAAATATCTTCATGGAACATGATCTTTACTTAATATCCTAATGATTTTTGGCCTGAAAGAAAAATTTATAATTTGACTCATAGAATGTTTGTTTGGCTATTGCTACAAATATACCCCAGCGACTTAAGACTGCTTTTGTGCTCCAGGGTCACATATATTCAAACAGAAAGCAGTTATTTTAAATTTTAATTAATATAATTAATAGTTCACAATATTACTGTTTTGATTGTTTTTTTTTTTGGATCAAATAAATGCAGCCTTTGTAAGCAAAAGAGTCTTGTTTTAAAAACATTCTCACAGACTGCAAACTTTTGAACGATAGTGTATAAATAAACTTTATTAATTTTGAGCATGCAGAATGCCAAGCCATGCAACCTTTAAGTGTGTACAAATTTGTATTTGAATGGAAGATGGAAGTTTTGAATCATGTTTTATTAATCATTTGTTCAAAATCTTGTGTATAGTGTTTGTAGGAGTGAGAGAACTTTGTTTGGCAGTACATTTGATCAAATGTATTTTCAAAAAACAGGATTTAGCTAAATATCTATTTCACTACACAAAAGACAGTGTGAAGACTTCTGAGAACACTTATGAGTAATGACCAAAACAATGTAACAGTACAAATTGTTTCTTTTAGTCACTGAAAAACAGTGTCCAAATGAAGTGATTTGTTTAAATGAATCAGACTTCCCAGCACTATTGTTTTCAGTACGTCTGGACTGTGTGTGTTTGTGTTGCGTTAGCCATGTCTGTTCCATTGGCACATTATGCATGTTTCACATGAATGACTGAACCAGTGAAAGTGTTTGATGCATCGTCGTGAAGGTAATGTGTTAACGGCGAGTAGGAGGAAAGGTAATTGCAAACACCCAGCTACGGCCCACACACTTCCTAGCCTTTCTCCTTCATTCAGAATTTACCTCCGTCAGCCTCCTCAAATAACCTCTGAAAGCCAGCCTTTCTCCTTGCTCGCCCCTCGTTCAATTGTCTTTCATCTGCACTCATTATTTCAGAGAATAGAGCATCTTTCCAGGAATCAGGAATCTGGTGTGTCGTCATGACAACGCTCGCTTCCGCTTCCACATGCGATGCCCTTTGCAATTATTTGTGTGGCGGCACACACTCAGGCATCGTCTACTCCATAAGAGTACAGCGTCTGGTCACACGCTATCACTGCCCCAGAGATGACCTACTTTTTGTCCTTTTCTCACAAATGAGGGGAAAAGGCGGAGTGGATTGCTAGAAGAGGATGTGGGTGGCGTTGATGTGGATCTGGTTGTGTCAAACACGGAGCCTGGCACATTCAGGGCAGCGCTAAAAGAAAGTTTTGTCATTATGCATTGTTGTTTCCAACCTGTATGCTGTTATTTTTGGTCTGTGGACAAATTTCTGTGGAAATATTTGAAAAGTCATTATGCAGCTCTTGTAATGTATCGAGAATGTCTGTCAAGCTCAAAACAAACGAACAAACAAAACACACTTTTTTTAACTATATAAGCCTTTTGATAGTTAATGTGAGAAAAGGCTGAATTAAAGCCTTTATTCACTGATATTCTTAAAAAGTCTTAAAGTATTAAGTCAAGTCAAGTCAAGTCAAGTCACCTTTATTTATATAGCGCTTTTAACAATACAGATTGTGACAAAGCAACTGAACAGCATTAATTAGGAAAATAGTGTCAATAATGCAAAATGACAATAGTAAACACTCATTTTTCAGTTAAAGACAGTTCATCATTGAATTCAGTGATGTCAACATCCAGCTTAGTTCAGTTTAAATAATATCTTTGCAATTATGTCAACGATAACGCTGGAAATGAAGTGTCCCCAACTAAGCAAGCCAGAGGCGACAGCGGCAAGGAACCAAAACTCCATCAGTGACAGAATGGAGAAAAAACCTTGGGAGAAACCAGGCTCAGTCGGGGGGCCAGTTCTCCTCTGACCAGACGAACCAGCAGTACAGAAAAATCAATATAAGACGTAATAAAACAGACGATGAATAATATTAACAGCAATTATTATATGATGCAATCAAACTTATAGCAAAATGTGGTAGTTCTGTAAGTTGTTTCAGGGTTGGCATCATCTGAGGTCCTCTGAGGGGTTGCATCATCTCTTCTCAGGTGTTCTGGATCCAGACTGAAGCTTGTGTAAATCCTAGTTACCACGGGATGTTAATCCCGTGGCAAAAGACAGAGAAACAAATACAAACATAATTAGCGTAGCTCCTGTTCCAACCAAGCAAAAATGATTTGTTTAACCCAAACTAACGAATAATAATGTGCATTTGATTAGATATAACTGCAGTAAAAGATTATGACTGCAGTAAAAGATTATGAGATGCATTATTTGAATGCTTGGCCAAAGAGATGTGTCTTTAATCTAGATTTAAACAGAGAGAGAGTGTCTGAACCCCGAACGGTATCAGGAAGGCTATTCCAGAGTTTGGGAGCCAAATGCGAAAAAGCTCTACCTCCTTTAGTGGACTTTGCTATCCTAGGTACTACCAAAAGTCCAGAGTTTTGCGACCTTAGGGAGCGTGATGGATTGTAGCGTGGTAGAAGACTAGTTAGGTATGCAGGAGCTAACCCATTAAGGGCCTTATAGGCAAGTAATAATATTTTGTAACTGATATGGAACTTAATAGGTAGCCAGTGCAGAGACTGTAAAATTGGGGTAATATGATCATATTTTCTTGACCTGGTAAGTACTCTAGCCGCTGCATTTTGGACTATCTGTAGCTTGTTTATTGAAGATGCAGGACAACCACCTAGCAGTGCATTACAGTAGTCCAGTCTAGAGGTCATGAATGCATGAACTAGCTTTTCTGCATCAGAAACAGGTATCATGTTTCGTAACTTGGCAATGTTTCTAAGATGGAAGAATGCCGTTTTTGTAACATGGGAAATATGGTTTTCAAAAGACAAGTTGCTATCTAATATAACACCCAGATTTTTGACTGTAGAGGAGGTAACCGTGCTTCCGTCTAGTTGCAAATTGTAATCCACGAGATTCGGCGTACTGTCTTTTGGTCCAATAAGTAATATCTCTGTCTTATCCGAATTTAATAGGAGAAAATTATTGGTCATCCATTCTTTTACATTTTTAACACACTCCGTTAGCTTAGATAATTTAGAAGTTTCATCTGGTCTTGTTGAGATATATAGTTGAGTATCATCGGCATAACAGTGGAAACTAATCCCGTATTTCCTAATAATATTACCAAGTGGCAACATGTATATCGAAAATAGCAGAGGACCTAGGACAGATCCTTGTGGCACTCCATGTTTTACTGGTGATAATTGAGATGACTCCCCATTTAAATGAACAATGTGGTAGCGATCGGACAGGTAGGATCTAAACCATCTTAAAGCCTGCCCTTGGATACCTGTATAGTTTTGTAATCGATCTATCAGTATGTCATGATCTATAGTATCGAATGTATTAAGCAGCTACAAGACAAATCACATTAATACAAACTTTTTTATATGATGCAAAAAATATTTAAAAATCAGACAAAAAGCTTTAATGACGGAAAGAACTACGGTACCATGATGCTTTGCATTTGTATGTTTGTGTATACAGCTTTTTAATTGATACATTCCGTAATAATTAGTCATGTAAATGACAAATGATCAATTTCGTAGTAATGCAGTTTTCACCAGGAATTCTACTATTAAACACAATTATTTCCAACAATTCTATATAGTGTAATATTAAATATATTTAAGTATAATATTTTATTTTTATATTTAGTATAGTATTCTCTCTCTCTATATATATATATATATATATATATATACAGTATATGTGTGTGTGTGTGTGTGTGTGTGTGTGTGTATGTATATATATTAATTTTCAGTCTGTTTTTCACACAGAGCTATCACATGACTTTAGAATACTTAAAATATAGTCATGTAGATTGCTGTAATAGCGCTTTTTTGTGTTGTTGATTTGTCCGTTTCATAGCTTGACACACATGAGCAGAGATGATCATTATGAGCTGCCATTAACTTGCAAGAGTTGTATAATAATTATTCAGAGAATTCATTTTTTTGTTCCATCAAAGAATTTGGAACGTTAGGCTGAGTAAATAATGACACAATTTAAATGTTTAGGCGCACCACACCTTTAAGATGATGGCAGAAGCATATTAGCCTGACAGATTTATGATGACCTATTTTCCGAATAGATGAGATTTTGTTAACAGCTCACAAAAGCTTTAGTGTGTGTTTGTGTGTCTCTGAACATGAACATCATCACAGAAGCAGAGCTGACATTTATGCTGTTACTAAATTTAGCATACATGTTGGGAGAACACGTTTGATGCTGTGTGTCGTCGGGTAGTGTTACTTAAATCTGGCCCGTCACTCACATCTCAAACAGCTTTCAGTAATGTTTTCCTGGAGACACGGCGCATGTCTGTGCAGTTGTAGGTCAACAGGGAAGAGCTCTGCAGGCACTCTGTGAGTTGAATTACATTTCAGCTCATTTAGATGCTTTAAGAGTACGGCTGGAGAAACAGTGATTAGGATGCTGAATCAAATGGTTTTAGAAAATACTTTACTTTCGAAGAAATGCCCAGGTAATATTACATCCCGAAATCAAAAGAATAAAGATAGCACCAATTAGTTATTTCATTATAGGTATTATGAACTAACAATGTGCAGTAGTTTATCTGCACTTATTAATCTAGGTCAATGTTCATTTCTACTTTTACACATTTTTAGCATTGCAAACTGTATAAATAACAACATGAGTATAACAGTGAACAATATTATATTTTTTTCTAAAAAAAATAACATGACCGTTAAATGTTTTTTTTTTTGCAATAAATAAATTTTATTCAGCAGGGATGCATTAAATTGGTCAAAAGTGTCTATAAAGACGTCTATAAAATGTAATTCCCTATTTCAAATAAATGCTGTTCTTATGAACATTCTATTTGTTTCCACCAACTGTTTTCAACACTGATAATAAGAAATATGACACTGAAGACTAAAGTAATGGTTCCTGAAAATTCAGGAATAAATTCTAGAATAAATTACATTTTAGAATATAATAAAATAGAAAAAAGTTATTTTAAATGGTAATAATATTTCACAGTATTACAGTTTTACTGTATTTTTGATCAATTTAAAGCAACATATATATTTTTTATTACAACAAAAATGCAAAACGCTTTGTTATTAGATAACAATGTCTATATAAAAAGTGTATAATAATGTTTTGGTGTGTGTGTGTGTGTGTGTGTGTGTGTGTCGTAAAAAAAAAATTTCAGGTTCAAAAATAAAATTTGTTCTCTGATTGACCAATTTGCTGTTTAAAACTCATATGTCTGCATGTATAATTCAGTTTAGACAGTTTGCAACAATGTTTAGCATCCGTGGTATTAAAATGATTGCTTGCAAGACTCTCCCAGACTGAACTAGACTTGAGAGAGTTATAAGTAAGGGTGCCGACACAGCCTCTGGCCGTGTTGCCAGATCCAGCTATTATAGGCATATTTTGACTTGTCTTTTCCACTTAATTTGACACTTTAGAAAGTTAATAAAGTGGGAAGTTTCAGTTTAGGCAGCAATATCTTTATCTTATCTTATTTGCAAAATAAATTTGAAATAACTTCGGTTTATTTATTTTTTATTTTTCCGTTTTTATAGCAATATCTGGCAACACTGCATTGCCGGCACTTAAACTGACAGTAATCAAAAAAGCCCATGGACAGGTTATTGCTGACAGGATAGCACATTCGGCAAGGGAAACGCAAAAAATATCATGATATTATCTGTCAGGAACATTATCAATGCTGCCAAAAACAGTAGTATTTTACATTAGTACACAGATCTCTAGAACAAGTAGGCTACGGAATGAATTGAAGTCTATGCTATGTCATTCAGTATAGTAGTTACATTTTCGCAAATCATGTTAAAAACATTCATAAGAGCACTAGACAAAGTTATCATCTATATAGCAATGATTATTAATGAAAACTAAAACGGTAATATGTATTGTTGCATGATTAATAAACAACTGATAAAATCATCCACCCATAACGTATAGTAAAATATTAACAAATTTTGATGCAATAAATATGGTATAATTTAACAGTGTTCATCTGTCCAAGAGAACAGAGAAAACATCTTTCACAGACATCTACATCTCTGTCTCTTTTAAAGTGTTAGTGTATATGAGTTGTATTTGTAGGGGTTATATTATAGCACAGACCTCACTAATTTTCAAACTCTGGCTACGGCCATGTTGTGAAGTGCATTGTAACATTATAATTGTGAGAGAAAAAAAGTTATGGCAGTGAGTTAATTAGTACAGAAGACTTCATGTCCGTAACCAAAAGCTTTTACTTTTGTGTTTTGCTGCATCCATGATGACAGACAACTTGTCATATCAGCCTGCAATACAAGCAAAGATTAATTTGGTGCATTCGAGTCGGTACAATAAAACCAGCAGGATAATGATAATTGATTTTCATGTTTCCTTTTTTCTGTCTCTTTCTACAGTAAAGCTGTTTGAGGTCATAGAAACAGAGAAGACACTTTATCTGGTGATGGAGTACGCCAGTGGTGGTGCGTTTGATGAAGCTAATGTGACACTGACTGCTTATGAGCTCCATATTATGTTATGTAATCTTGTGCAATGGTCTGTAAATCTGTATAATGAAGCATATGAAACCAAGAGCGCTATATGATTCACCATGTGCGTCTCTTCTCTCCACAGGGGAGGTGTTTGACTACCTCGTAGCGCATGGACGAATGAAGGAGAAGGAGGCCAGAGCTAAATTTAGACAGGTACAGTACTGCAGTGTACTCGATACAGCCCTGTCCCGCCCTCTCGCTCTCACCCGGGCCGCCCTGCCCATTCGCACGCCTCCTGGTTGCATTGGAAACAGCAAGCTGTGAACTGCAATTGGGCGACGCTTGTGTGATTGGCAGTCGATGGTTCCTGTGGCAGCCGCGTGAAGGGTTTCCCAGTGGGCCGAATGTGGCCCATATACATGACTTTTGGTTTGGGGTCATAAACTAAATACTGTTTGAACAGTTTAGGAACCTCTTGTGGAACACCACAAGTCCTCGTCAAAATTCATTTGCTGACATCGCAGCAGCAGTGCGCTGTAATGAGCTTTATGCCAAATCTCAGAATCTGGGAGTGTTTGAAATAGCATAATGCATTTTTTCAGTATGTTTACTGTGCAGATATTAGACAACAACAATGCATTGCACTCAATTGTGCAAACAAATGTATCTATATTAACCACTATCTCTTTCTTATTTGACCAGACTTCCAAAAGTTAAGCCATTTTTACACAAAAATAAGTTTAGATTTTTTTTTTTTCAAATAAATAACTATATGTGTCCATGATAATAACCTGATGCCCTCGTCAAAATTCATTTGCTGACATCGCAGCAGCAGTGCGCTGTAATGAGCTTTATGCCAAATCTCAGAATCTGGGAGTGTTTGAAATAGCATAATGCATTTTTTCAGTATGTTTACTGTGCAGATATTAGACAACAACAATGCATTGCACTCAATTGTGCAAACAAATGTATCTATATTAACCACTATCTCTTTCTTATTTGACCAGACTTCCAAAAGTTAAGCCATTTTTACACAAAAATAAGTTTAGATTTTTTTTTTTCAAATAAATAACTATATGTGTCCATGATAATAACCTGATGCTATTTTATTTTATTTTATTTTTACCTACTGTGCAGTAAGCAGGATGCTGGTATTCCATCCCAGTAATATTTTAGTAGCAGTGAAATACTATTATAGTTTTTGTTAGTATTTTGAATGAGTTTAGGTGAAGTTTTTGTAATTTTGTTGCATGTTTTGGGCATTTTTGTTTAAAATGTTTATAGAATTTTTTATTATGTTTTATTTTATGTAGTTAATTTATTAATTTATTTAGTTTATTTAATTTAAAGTGAAATGGAGTGAAATTCTGATTTTAATTTTAGATTTTTTTTTACAGATTTTAAATCTGTAGATTTAAAAAATGGCGTTGTTGACAAATGTTTAAAATAATTTTTTTAATAATATTTTAATTTAATAATTAAAAAGAATAATGAGAAATCATTTAAAATCATAGTTTTAAATGATGCTAGACACATCGGTGTCCTAGATTATTTAAGAATATTTAAGTTATTTTGTTCTACCTAAAGGTGAGCATGTTTCATTATGACCACCGTGTTAAGATCACTTGACCAGCCGAATGCTACTCCATTAATCTTAAAAATCCCTCTATTATCATAAGCGAAATATAATAAAATGAATCATGAGTGACAAATACAGACAAATACAGACAGAGACAAATACATACAGATACAGACCATAAACTTTTACTGTTGCTTGATGCTGCATTTACGCCAGAGGTGTTGAGTGGAGTGAGAGAGCTCTAATGAGACAGCCACCCGCTGACAGCATCATTTGCTCCTTTTAATTACCCGAAGACCCCTTTCAACCTCCCTCCATCCCACTGCGACCCATCGGTCTAATGGACGAGGACGGTGGGTTTGCCCGCAGCTGATGCAGACATCTGTTTTCATAGCAGTGGGGTCTCCCTCCCCTCCTCCTCTCCTCCGTCTGAGCCCTCTGCTGCTGCTGCTGCTGTGGAGACAGCTTATCTGGGTCAGGCATGAAGCACCGCTGAGATTTCTGAGCAGAGCAGAAAACCCACCAGATTCTTCCACCAGCCGGAGAAAGAAATGGAAATCTGTCCCCGTATCTGATGTCTGGGACACGGATAGAGCTGCATGAATATCAAACAGTATCCAGAATGTTGAGCATTTGAGAACGAGACGAGAAAATCCACAATTATTATGAGGTGTAATTTGAGAGGAATACACATTAACAATATAAAAAGAAATATGAAAAGTCGTATTTTATTAAAGTAATGTTTTTGGGGATCCGTAATTTGTACATGTTGCTTTATTAAATATTTTAGCTAGTTTAATAGGAGTGATCTCGGCCCCACTGCAGATTTCCTCTAAATCTGTGTAGAAAATACAGAAAAAGCCTGCAGATTTTGTCAGGATCTGTGTAATGGAATGCGGAAGCAAATGTTGTTCATTTTTGAATGCAATTATAGAAATAATGCATATTTGTCACTTATGATTACTTTTACTGCCAGAAGTGTCTAATGTGATAATCAAGATGATGTGAGGAGCGTTTAGTTGGTCATCTCTATGTAGCAGACAAGCTTACGCAAACGTTCAAGAATTTGGAGAATTCTTTCATTTCAATTCATTTTCAAAAAAGGAAACATACATGGATGAATCCTTTACAATACCAACTATCACATGCATTTAGAAAATAGATGGGGTGATTTATTTCATGTAGACATTTTGTGAAATAATTCTCTTATATCTTAGATTGATATATTTTTTAATTTGTTCCTGTGATGCAAAGCTGAATTTTCAGCATCGTTACGCCAGTCTTCAGTGTCACATGATCCTTCAGAAATCATTCTAATATGCTGATTTGAAGCTCAAGAAACATTTCTTATTATTATTGATGTTGAAAACAGTTGTGCTTCTTAACATATTTGTGGAAACCTTTTTTTATTATTATTATTATTTTTAGAATTCGTTTATTAAAATTCAGAAAAACAGCCTTTATTTAAAATAGATGTCTTAACTGTCAATTTTGATCAATTAAATCCATCCTTGCTCAATAGAAGTATTAATTTCTTTTCATACTCGTACTGAGCAGCATTCATTTAAAATAGAAACCTTTCTAATATGCTGATTTGCTGTTCAAGAAACATTTCTTATGATTTTTTTTTTTTACATTTTTACTCTATACATTTATTTCTTTGATGGATTATTTTAAAGTTTAAAAGAACAGCATTTATTTGAAATAGAAATCTTTTATCAAATTCGAAATATTTTACTGTCACTTTTGATCAATTTAATGTATCCTTGCTAAATAGTATTAATTTCGCCACCAAAAAAAAAAACACTGACCCCAAATTTTGAAATCGTAGTGCACATAAAATTTTGATTTGATACTGTATTCTGTATCAAAAATGAAAAAAGGAGGATCTTGCGCTTGATTCCATTCACATGAAACATGATTTCAAGTCAAGTCAATTCATCAATCAATTCTTGAAATTCATTTGCTTTGTATCCAAATACAAGGATAACATGCCGAGATACTAGCAATCTTCTTTTATTATTATTTATTATTAAGTGCAAAAAAGTGCTCAGTGCGAATTTCAAGAACTGAGATTTTTTGCTCTTTGATAGATTCTATACTATATTCTGTAACCGTAATCTCACACCCAGATTCTGATGGTTTGGAGCTCCAAGCGTCAGCTGTGCTGAGCAGTCAGTTTCAGCAAGTCTCTCTCGCCCCTCATTTATCATCCTGGACCATGTGTCAGAACCTCAGCACACATGCTCCCCCGTCCAATCAATGGCATTCTTGGAAAAAGCGATGATGCTAGTTAATGTAGTGTATTGGCTGTTGCACCACACCCTCAAATAAATGCAAAACAAAGAATTATTATAGTTTCATTATTTATTATAATTATTTTATTGTACTAACATTATAACATTTAATTCATATTTACATTTAAAATAATTAATATTTAATTAATTTATAATATTATATTAATATTAATTTTCACGTGATGAGATTATAAATTCCCTTTGCATTTCGTTAATCATTAATAAATGAAATATGCATGAAAAATAACTCTTTGTCTTACTCCTTCTCTTGTTTTCTCATGCAGGCAGAAAACCTACTGCTGGATGCAGATATGAACATTAAGATCGCTGACTTCGGTTTCAGTAATGAATTCACTATTGGGAACAAACTAGACACGTTTTGCGGCAGCCCTCCATATGCGGCCCCCGAGCTTTTCCAAGGCAAAAAGTATGATGGGCCTGAGGTAGATGTGTGGAGTCTGGGGGTCATACTCTACACGCTGGTCAGTGGATCACTACCCTTTGATGGACAGAATCTAAAGGTTAGTGTGCACAGCCCTGAAAGGTCACTTTTGCCCTCCTAAACTTTCACAGAGAGTCATACAACTGAGAAGCTGTGGATGTGTGTAGTGATTCATGAAAAATCCCGGGTGAAATCAGTGATTTATTAAAGCAATAAGCCATATGAGGTTATGCATTATAGTTGTTTAAAGGTGGGGTAAGCGATTTCTGGTAGCCAATGTTGACATTTGAAATCACCAAAACAAACACGCCCTTGCCCTAAAAGGGTCTCGCCCCTATTTTGATAGCTCCGCCCCACACATACGTACGCAACCCAGGCAACGATTAGTTCTGTGAAACAAAGCAAAACCAATGTTACACCGTGTCTACACCAGACGCGAGCGGCGCAGCGCGACAAAATACTATAGAACTCATTATAATCAGTGATGCTGTCTACACCATAGATATATATATATACATATCTTATGGTCTACACTGGATGCGGCACGACACAACACGACAAATCACCGACAGAAAACTGCTGCTGCGTTCTATTTATGACGTATTGACACAAATTTCAAATGATTTTCAACGGTCGCTTTGTCGCGTCCAGTGTACTAGACAGACTTTAGCTGTTGCGGCGCAGACACGGTGTTACTCACCTATCGAGAAGAAACAAAGCAACCTTGGCGTCCGATCGCAGGCCTTCCGCTCCTTGAGTTCTCTCCAGCACTGGAAAGCTGATCTGATATTTACACGGGTCCTGCTTCTTGCCTTATTGCCTTAAGCCTTCTTTTGTTCCGCAGACGTTTTCCTCTTTTGTTTTTTATCCGCCATCTCTATCTTTCTGTTGCTCGGCTCGGCTAATGTCCATCCTGTGCACTGAACGCTCTCTCCTCCACATCATGAGTAGACACGCCCCTTACTGCTGATTGGCTACAAGTTTGTTTTGCTATTCGGCCGAATCAGTTTTCTAAAGCGTTTTTGAAAAATCGCTTACCCCACCTTTAAGCAAAATGCAAAGGAGAATGGTAAAGTCACTGCATCCTGCAACCTCTCGCAGCTCATTAGGTTTATAAAATAGTGGTAACAGTCAATAAAGACACTAAATAAACAAGATGTGTGCCACAAGTGTGCATATATTTGACTTCAAATCTCATCTGATCAGATTTTACAGCCAGAATTACATTTTACCTGCAGGAGCTTCGTGAGCGGGTGTTGAGGGGCAAATATCGAATTCCCTTCTACATGTCGACTGATTGTGAGAACCTTCTGAAACGCTTCCTGGTGCTGAACCCTGTCAAACGGGGAACACTTGAGGTGAGAACATATAGGATAAACATAGCCTACAACTGAAGTATGTACTGGTCAGTGAAAAGAGGTGCTTTATTTTCAGAAAATGCTTGTGAAGCTCAGTAGTAGTTTTTTAAATATATAGTTGTTTTATTTATTTAAATTTTAAGTGGATTGTAATTGACTAAATAAATTTTTTTATCCAATTTATGTGATTTTTTTTATGGGCCACTTTATTATATATGAAATTATATACAAAAGAATAAAAAAATCTAGTCTGTAGTATAATGACAAAAATCAGCACGCATTAAATAATAATAATAAAATAATTTAATTATATGAAAATTGTACAATTAAAAGAATTTAATGTTTTAAATCGATTTAATTTAAATGTTGGTTAATGTTGTTTGTTTGATCACTTCTAAATTCTTCTATAAAATATTCTTCTAAAAATTCTAAAATAAATATTTGAAGTTTATGAAATAAAAAAAATAATAAAGACAGTGTTTAATTTAAATGATTATTTATAGTCATTTCCTAAAAACCAGAGAGAATAATAATTTGAACACTTTTTCTTATATAATCTTATATACTTATCTACATTAATTTGGGTAACAGGGTTGAATCGATGGATTCGCATATAAATAAAAATCTGATATGTTTAAAAAAAAGCTACTTCATATACTTATCATTAATTTTTTATGGTTTTATGGTTTATGGTTAATAAAACATTTTCAGTAGGTCTTACAAAAAAATAATTTATGCATCTAATGTTTTAAAAAAGAAATGTGACTCTAGAGTGTACAGTGTTCATAGAAGGTGCCACCTTGATTAATGAAAACACATAAACCTTTCTTCCACATTCCCAATAAAAACACACCCAAGCATGTCATCTCGTCTCTTTCCCTCTATTCTCCCTCCATCACAACCTTTAGCCTGAGTGCACACTTTCATCACAGCATGCTTTCTCTTCCCAATTCATTTAACGTGACACTCATTCCCAGACACACCCTTGTAGAGTTCCAGTGAAACAGCGCCTCCATTGTTTGGGGGCTTTATGTGCAGGTTATATACTGTTCACTTCACGGCCCATAATGCACATGCTGAATTATAGTCCTGTTACAAGAAACTCAGAATGAAATTACATCTGCTGATGAATAATTGAGAATTTGAGAGGCGCTGTGCACTCAAGTGTGTGTTATACCACTCACTAATATATATATATATATATATATATATATATATATATATATATATATATATATATACACAC